CGATGGTTCTACTTAGTCATTCGGGACATATATGTAATCCTTTGAAACATATATGTGGTACTTCGATACACCTATTTGGTCCATTGGAATATGTATTTGGTCCTTCGGGACATATATGTTATATGTGGTCATTCAGGACATCTATGTGGTCCTTCGGGACATTTCTACACGGTCATTCAGGATAAATTCTATATGCCCCTAGTGAGACTTTATACAAGCTGTGGTGACAACATATGTGCACAACCTCTATGTACTCGCATATCTTTAGTTCTCAGAAGTATACATGGGCTAATAAAGAGATAATATAAATAAACTTGGTATGATGTTATATGTGTTTATTGGTGAAATGGTATCTGTTATATGATGTGTATAAATGATAAGTATAAGATTATATGATAAAAAGGAATTAGTGATAAAAATATATGATAACTCTAAAAATGTATATGATGATATATGTATGTATGTATTTTTTACACGAAAGGGTATATTAGGTTGTATGATATAATAGTATGAAATATACATTCACTGTTAGGAGTTATAATTTACATTATATGTTTTATATGCCTCACTAAGTCATAGACTTAGCATGTGATTGTTTCACACATAGGTTTCAAGAAGATTAAGGAGAAAATAGGAGTAAGACATGTCAGCTTCTCCTTTTCGAAGATTAGACCAGAAAAGAGTTTTGAATTATATGTATTTTGGTATATTAAATGTAGTTGGCATGTACTAAGAGATTTGAGTTGAGTATGCTCTGATATGTTTTTTAAAACCAATTGTTTTTTTATTTAATGTCAATTATTCAGCTTTGATATAAAAGTTAAAATTTTCATTCTTTTGTAAAAGTAAATATTTTGAAAATCCAATGTGCCACCTCGGACTTGTATCCGGGTCGGGTACGGGTTGGGGTGTTACAACGTTTTTAGGAAAATTTAAAGAAAATGGCTCTCAGTGTTGGTTTGTCAATGTGTATTATCTTTCTATTGAAGCGAAAAAAGAAGGTTTTTTGATAAGCTATACTCCTTTATTGATCAAACAGTTGGGCTTATCTGTGTAGGTGGGGATTTTAACGCCTATTTGAATCTAGAAGAAAAAGTATGTAGGTCTCAAAATTCTCATTCAATTAGGGTGTTTTCTGAGTTTATTCAGAATGTGGAACTGGTGGATCTTTCTTTGATTGGTGGTGGTTTTACTTGGGGGAATAATAGAGTGGATCAATCGGTGGTCAGGCTAGATAGGTTTCTTGTTGACAAAAGGTTTTTAGATCTTTTCCCGAGGGTTTCTCAATTACTTCCTCATTCTCTCTCTGAACACAATCTTGTTCTACTAGAAAATTACGTAATTAATTGGGGTTCTCGACCATTTAAATTATTTAACTATTTGATAGAAGAAGAGGGTTTCCAAGAAATGGTAAAAGAGAAAATCGGTGAACTGAAGAGGGGGGAGAGACATAGAGGGATAACATACCTTTTGAAAGGAGTGAAGGTGATTGTTAAAGATTGGACCGGAAGTAGACACTCTGAACTGCTGGGAAAGATTTCGGCTCTTGAGAAGTCCATTCATGAGATGGAGTTGGCCTTGCAACAGAATTTGACATCAGAAGTCTAGGTGCAAGTGGTTCTTGGAGGGGGATCGTAATTCAAGATTATTTCATCATTGTGCATCCAATAGAGGTAGGGTGAATTCTATAAACTCTCTGAAGATTAATTGGGAGCAGTGTTCGAATTCAAGAGTTATTAGAGCATATATTCTTGATTTCTTTAAAGTCGCCTATAACACTAAAAATACTATTGAAGTAGATGGGATGGACATTAGTTTTTCCAGACTTAGTACAGACATTGCCACACGATTGGAAGTTCATTTTTCAGAAGAAGAAATATGGGAAATAGTTACAGAGTTAGATCCTAACAAAGCACTAGGGCCAGATAGGCTGAATATGGGTTTTTTTTTAAAAAAAAATTGGTCGAATCTGAAAGAAGATGTGACGAGGTTTTGTGGTGATTTCTTTGCTAGAAAATAGTGGGAAAGAGGAATTAATCACTCTTTTATCACCTTGATCCCTAAGAAGTTAGGTTTGGAATGCATTGAAGATTTTCGTCCAATTAGTCTTGTTGGGAGACTATACAAAATTTTGTTAAAAGCTTTAGCTAAGAGAGTTAGAGGTTGCATGGATATACTAATTGGGCCTTCCTAATTTGCATTTATCCCGGGTAGGCAGATTCTGGACTGTTCGTTTATAGCAAATGAAGGTATTGAATATTAGAGGAGAAAAGGGTTAGCTGGAGTTGCCTTTAAAGTTGATTTCAGGAAAGCATATGCTTCAGTTTATTGGTCGGTGTTGTTAAAAGTTATGGTTTTTATGGGTTTTGGGGAGAAATGATGCTCTTGGAATCGTCAATGTATTTTGTCGGTTATTGTTTTAGTTTTAGTGAATGGTTCTCCCACGGAGGAATTTAAAATTTCCAGAGGGTTTCGGCAAGTATGTTCCCCCTATTATTCAATTTGGTTTGGGAGCTTCTCAGCCGTCTTCTTTCTAAAGCAATCAATTTTGGATTGTTTGATGGGTTCACCATTAGGAAACAACCTATACTTTTGAACTTTTTCATCTATAATTCGCACATGACCTTTTGATTTTTTGCGGGGCCTTGTTAGGACAATTAAAGAATGTGAGGGTTCTGTTGATTTATAAGTTGTTAATGGGGCTTCAAATCAACCTAATCAAAAGCAGGGTATATGGAATCAATGTGGATGAGGAGGGGATAAAAGATTGGGCTGATATTATTGGGTATTCAGTTGGTACTTTCCCAATAGAATACCTTGGAATTCCTTTGGGTGCTAAGAGAAACTCGGCTGCAATGTGGGAACCGGTGGTTAAGAGATTCTATTCTAAATTGGTTGGGTGGAAAGGTTCCTCCCTCTCGTTGGCTAGCAGAATAGTTCTTGTCAAATATGTTCTTAGCTCGCTGCCTATCTACTTTCTATCTATTTTTAGAATTCCAACCTCTGTTTTGAAAAAGTTAATTCTATTATGGCTAGATTCCTTTGGGGAGGTTCGGCTGAAAGAAATAAGATCAAATGAGTTAGATGGTCGATTATTTGTTCGCTAAAGGATTGTGGAGGGCTGGGAATCGTTAACCTACAGTTAGTGAAAAAAGTACTTTTGGGAAAATGGGCGTGGAAATTCTCTTGTGAAAAGAACTCCTGGTGGAAAAGAATGGTATGTTGTAAATACAATTTGGACAGTAGTGATATTCTCTTGAAGGAGTTTCCAAGCCATGTATCCTGGTTGTGGAAAATATAGTTCATATTTGTCTTAAAGATGATGCATTAGGTGAGTGCGCCTGAAAGCTGTTGCAATTGAAAGTTGGGGATGGGAAGTCTCTTTTATTTTGGCATGATGTGTAGATTGGTGGGCTATCGTTAAAGAATAGGCTCCCTAGACTTTTTACCCTATCTGTTAATAAATGTGGTAAAATTTCAGATTTTGTTTCGTTCTGCTTTTCATCCTGGATCTGGGAGATCAAATTGAGGAGGAGTCTAGCCGATTGGGAGCTGGATGTGTGGCTAGATTTGATGAAGTTATTAGAAAGTGTGATTATTGATCAGAGGAGAGTTGATTGTTTGTTGTGGAAAGGGAGTGGTGATGGTGCATATTCGGTGAGGTCTTGCCTAAAGTGATGGTCTGATATATTAGGACCTGGTCCGGCTTGGGTTAGTATGGTTTGGTGTGGACTTGTCCCTCTTAGGGTGGAATCCTTCCTTTGCCAGGTTGTGCATCAGAAGTTGGCAGTAAAGTGTGAATTATTGAAGAGGAAGGTTCGTGGTATTAGTGACATTAGTTGTCCTTTATGCGAGTTGTTTACAGAGTTGGTTTCTCACTTGTTTTTCAACTATTGTGTGTCCTGGGTTTATGGTGCAGGGTTTTGAGTTTTTGGAATGTTCAATCTCCTCTTCCTTTTGATCCTTTAGTTTTTTTTCAGGCTTGGTGGGGGTTGGTTCTGGAGTTTGAAATATGGAAGTTTATTTCGAGAGTAATGTTGTGGTCTATATGGAAGTATATGAATTGGATAGTTTTTGAAGGGGGTCAATGGATCAACTTAATCTTTTCTTTCTTGTGCTGTATAGATTGGTGGCTTGGTTCTCTGCTAAGCACCCTCATTTTTCCTCTTTTTTTGATTGTTTGGTTGGAGACCCATCTGTTATTGACCATTGTGGGAGCCATAAGAGTTTTGGTTTATCTAAGTATATTTGGGTTACACCCCTTGTGGGATTCTTTAAAATGAATGTTGATGGTGCAGTTAGCGGTGATTGGCTAAAAGGGGTATTGGCGGGGTTCTTAAAGATTCAGGGGGTTTACTGTTGGGGTCATTCTCTGAGGCTGTTGGTTAGGGTCCTCCTGGAGTAGCTGAATTGTTGGCAGTTAAAAGGGTTGATGTTTTTTATAGATTCTTATTGGTGCAATAAAGGGAGGTTAATATTAGAATGTGATTGTATCTTAGTGGTGAATTGGATTAAAAACCAAGGCTGTTGTCCTGCTTCATTGAGCCTTGTTTTGCAGGAGATTGTATCTTTAGTGAGGGATAGGGTTGTGATTGTTAGGCATATTAGTAGAGGGTCTAATTGGGAGGCAGATAAACTTGCTAAAGAGGGAATTGGTTGAGTGGGGTTTGTGTGTAGGAACGAGAGTTTGATATTGTGGGGTTTTCTTTGTATGTTTGTTAGTGGTAGTCGTATGATGTATGATGTAAACTCTAATGTACTATGGTTATGATATTTAATAAATTTTGAGACATTATTTTCCTCCTTCCAATGTCCTGTGAAATAGTGTGTATTTTATAGATTATAAAGGGGGTTTTAATGAGGTCTCCCATTTCTATCCAAAAAAAAACAGGCAAGTCAAACAAGCATGGATGTTTTTATTATGATTGCATATACCACATTGATTGAGCTATGATTAACTTCTATATCAAAATGATATCCATGCAGCAGGACCAAGGTTTGGATACTTTAAAGAGCATGGCTCATGATATGAATGAGGTAAGCTGTCTTCATCGTCATATGAAACTATTCAATATGATGTAATGTACATTTTTTATTGCTACTTAAGTGCATCCTCTGATGTGTGCAGGAATTGGATAGGCAAGTTCCTTTGATGGATGAAATTGACAGCAAGGTTAACATTGTGATTTTCATGTTATTGTACATATTAGTAACTGCTTAAGTATTAGCAACTTACCCTATGTATTCTCTTCTTTAAACATTTACAGGTAGACAAAGCAGCGTCTGACCTTAAGAACACAAATATCAGACTTAAAGATACAGTCACTCAGGTGATTAGATATATATTCATTAATTGTAGAATCTCGTACATTTTCATCTTTATTTGCTGGATCTGACTTATGTTTTTGGTTCTATTCAGTTGAGGTCCAGCCGGAATTTCTGCATTGATATTGTCTTGTTGTGCATAGTTCTGGGAATTGCTGCCTATTTGTACAAGTAAGCTTCAAACTCATGCCTTTTATAAAGAGAAAAAAAAGACAAACTCTGCATCAGAACTTTCTCATCTAATGCTCTAGTGATCACAAATGATTTCCTATCATACTTGCAATCGGGTATGCGTCTGATATGGGCATTTTAAATGAATTTTTCCACGTATTTAGAGGCCCTTGAAGTGGAGGTTCATACCCCCATATTCATGTCCAACTGTGTATCAGACATGAGTGCTTCAAGAAAAAAAGAAGTTGGAGCCACATAATATTTATATAATTGATTATAAATAGACATATAGTTTCATTTTAATTGAACTCCTCGATCCTCATACTCTGTGCTTCGGTTATGTTTGGGGTACATGCTGGGTTTTGGTTTCTTTAAGGTTAAAATACTAAAAAGGCCCTTGAACTTTGTCGTATAAGCCCTTGTACCGATGTTACATCCCAATAAGACCTTAAGGCTTAGACTCTAATTTGTACCTAAATGAGCCCTTTATTGCATCTAAATAAGACCGACTTTCAATTACACCTCAATAAACACTTAATATAAACCAACAAATCATTTGATATGAGAGTTTATGTAAGTAAAAGTCAAAGAATAGGAGCTTATTTGGCACGGAGATGGATTATCATCATGTTTGGTCTTTAGCCATTACCCTTCTCTGGTTGACGGAGATGGATTAGAATTATCTAAATGAATAGTTGGGCTTGAAATACATGCATAGCCGCCCGATGTCTCTGTATAGATGCATCTTTTATTTTATTTTTATATGAGCTTTAATGTCCGAGCAACCGCATAGCTGGTGCGTGGTGTTTGAATATTAGAACTCGTATTCTTGGAGTTTTAATTAACAGTTTGATTGCAACTATTGGTTAGCAAATGAATACATTCCACTGTTTCTTTGCTTAACATTTCCACTTGGATGTAAAGATGGAAACAAGGGAAATGTTGCTGAGTTATTTGAGAGAGTTTCACAGAGTATAAAAGTGAAGCGTTACAGTGAGGCACTCGATGATCTTAATGCTGCCATTGAGGCAGATCCAGCACTTCAGAAGCATATTTACGCCGTGCATCTCTTCTGTGTCAGGTATGCCGGGACTGTTAAAAATAGGAAGTTTGGATATACATATATATTTGTAATCTTTCATTCACCACTCTTTTTTACCCTTTTCACTTTTCCTTAAAAATGACAACTATTACGAAATATAGTTGTATTGATATATCCTAAGGTCTTCGATGGCATTTTTCTAATACTATCTCGATAATAAATGTGGAACCAATGTTCTTGTAAATTTTATGATTCCTTTGCACAAAGTAAACTGTTTCCATTATTTTCTCTCACACCATCTCACCATTGCTTCTGATTGGAAAATCATATGAGGGGTTTTTTTCAATGCAGGTATGAGGAATCTGAGTAAAGCTACAAAAAGTTTCTGGAACTAAAACCTGGAAATTCTGTTGCTGGAAAGGAACTGTCCCAGTTGCAACAGGCTCAAAGTGCTTTGGTAAGACCTAAAAATAGCAGCTGAAAAATCACCTCAGGTTAGTCGTAGTATTTAATTTGGATGATATTTGTCTCTATTAAATTTTCTTTCCCCCGGAAAATAGTAATCAGTTGTACATTCTGATTCATGAGAGCCAAAACTTGGTTTGCAGGATATGAATATCCGTGAAGCGCTTATGTGCCGAGAAAGCTTTGAAGATAAGAAAACGCAAAGACTGGTACAAAATTCTGGGGGTTGCAAAGATTGCTTCGGTTACCCAAAAAAACGTGCGTACAAGAAGCTTGCTTTGCAATGGCACCCAGATAAGAATGTTGATAATAGAGAAGAAGCCGAGGCACAACTCCGAGAAATAGCTTCTGAATATGAGGTATGATGCATTAATATTGAACTTTCTTTGTCATCTTTGTGCTATTTAAACTTTCAACTTTTTTTTATATATAACTTTGTGATCATCATTCCTTTTTACATTAAATGAATGAAATGCCAATAGCATATCACTGGTTGTTGCGGAAGACGACTATCGGATAGAGCAAAATCGCAATTGATAATTTGAGAAAATAAAAATGAAGATAAAGAAGACTCAAAATTTACGTGGAAAACCCATAAATAATATAGGGTAAAAACCACGGGCAACGGTTGAAGAATTTCACTATGAGAAAATAGGAATTACAACCTCTCTCGATCTACCAAGGAGAAAACAATGATAATTCTCTCTTGATAAAAAAAAAATGAGAAAACAACTCTCAATAAACTCTCTAAATTCTCTCTAGTATTGGAAGAAAGCTAGAATGCTTTGGGATGATTTTGAAGCTAAATGAGCTAGGGTATTTATAGTTGAAACTTCAGGACTAATTTGTAAATATCTTAAATTACAATGACTAAAAATGATTTTACCATTTCCAAAAAAAATCAACAAATGCCATGTGCCATTAATTGTGCCCACTTTCAGTGCATTGTTTAATCCATCTTTCGGTGGATTTGTTTAGTTTTCAACAATCTCCCACTTGAATATTTGATTGGAACAATCATATCTTCACACCATTCTTTCTACCTTGTACCATCATATTGCTTACGTCTCTGACAGGCCACAAGAGGATCGACACCAAGTAAATTTATCAACGTTGATCGCCTTCGTCATGAAATCTGCTATGTTGTCTTTGGTATGGATCTTCTGCATATCTACCGTTCCTTCTTCCACCTTTTCACGAATGAAATGGTATTGAACTCGTATGTGCTTTGTCCTTGAATGAAATGATGGATTCCTTGCTAAATGCAAGGCGCTTTGACTGTCACAAAACAGAGAGACATACTCTTAATTGTGCCCACGCTCCTCCAATAGCATCTTCAACCAAATTCCTTCTTTACTGGCTTGTGTAGCTGCTACATATTCTGCTTCTATTGTGGATGTAGCCACAACTGACTGCAATTTTGAAACCCAACTTACAACTTCACCAGCAACTTTGAACACATATCCTGTAGTAGATTTTCTTTTATCCAAATCCCCTGCATAGTCAGAATCTACATACCCATTGATTAATAAGTTTGATCCTCCGTAACATAATGCAACATTTGAGGTCCCTTTGATGTATCTCAGGATCCTCTTTATTGTATTCCAATGCTTTTGTCTGGATTCGCCATGTACCGACTAACCACTCATACTGCTTGTGCAATGTCTGGTCTTGTGCATATCATAGCGAACATTAAACTTCCCACTGCTGATGCATACGGTACTCGAGACATCTCCATCCTCTCTTCTTCACTGCTAGGACTCATACTAGAGGATAATTTGAAGTTAATAGGAAGAGGGGTAGAAATTGGCTTACAATCTTGCATGTTGAATCGTGACAAGATCTTCTTCAAGTAATTATTTTGTGAAAGCCAAATCTTTCTATTACTTCTGTCTCGGTGAATTTGCATCCCTAAAATCTTGTTTGCTGATCCCAAGTCCTTCATTTCAAATTCCCTAGCCAGTTGTGCCTTCAATTCTTCAATATGATCTTTTTTGGGTCATGCAACCAACATGTCATCCACATACAACAACAATATAACAAAATCGTTATCACCAGACCTCTTGAAATAAGCACAAGGGTATGCATTAAGTCTGTTGTATCCAAGGCACATAATGAAGGAATCAAATCTCTTATACCAACACCTCGGCGCATGCTTTAGACCGTACAGAGATTTGTTCAACCTGCAAACCAAGTTCTTCTTTTTTTTTTCTTCAAAACCTTCAGGCTGGAGCATGTAAATATCTTCTTCAAGATTTCCATGAAGAAAAGCTATTTTAACATCTAGCTGCTCTAGATGTAAGTTCAATGTAGCACACATTGCCAAAACTACTCGAACTGTTGTTGGTCAAACCACAGGAGAAAATATTTCATTGAAATTAATACCTTCTTTTTGAGCATATCCTTTGACCACCAGTCTTGCACAATACCTCTCAACTTGATCGTCACCATTTTGCTTGATTTTGAAGACCCATTTTTTACCAATTGGCTTCCTTCCTTGTGGTAGTGGCACAAGGTCCCATGTATTATTTTTATGAAGGGCTTCGATTTCTTCTTGCATCGCCATCATCCACAGTGAAGCATCTGAGTTGTTTATTACCTCCTCATATGTTAACGGCTCACCGTCCTCTGTTAAAAGACAGTATGCAATATTACCTTCTATAACATAATCTGAGTGCCAATTGGGACATCTTCTCACACGATCTGATTGACGAGTTGTTGGAGCTTCAGAACTTTCTGGTTCTTGTTCATCATGTGCTGGTTCTACTTCAGAAGAATCTCCTTGTTCAACCTCCTTTTCTACATGTATCTGTGTAGTCTTTGGCTTTTCAGTGCTATCATCTTCTTTTCTTTGTAGCTTATCTTCTACAAAGATAACATCCCTGCTGATGATCACTTTACGGGCAGTGGGATCCCACAAGCGATACCCCTTTATTCCATCAGCATACCCCAAGAATTTGCATTTCTTGGATTTTGGATCCAGCTTTGAAATTTCTTGGGAGTTGTACATCACGTACACTATACTTCCAAATACATGGAGATTTGAATAATCAGTTGGTTTTCCAGTCCACATCTCCATTGGTGTCTTCAGCTCTATTGCAGTTGATGGAGCTCGATTCACCAAATAACAGGCGGTATTGACTACTTCTGCCCAGAATGATTTTTCTAGGCCTGCATCCCTCAACATTGCTCTTGTTCTTTCTAACAAGGTTCTGTTCATCCGCTCTACCACTCCATTTTGTTGAGGAGTGTTCGCCACTGTGAACTGTCTTTTGATGCCTTCTTTCCTGCAAAAGTCATCAAATTCTTCGCTTGTGTATTCTCCTCCATTATCTGTTCTAAAATACTTGATCTTATTTCCAGAATCAAGTTCCACCCGCACTTTGAAGTTTTTGAAAGTTGAAAACACATCTGACTTCTTTTTAATAGGGTACACCTAACATCTCCTAGAGTAGTCATCAATAAATGAGACAAAATATTTTGCTCTGCCTAGGGATATAACTGGTTCTTGCCATACGTCAGAGTGAACCAATTCTAGAACATTTTTGCCTCTAGAATTTAATGTGTTGAATTTCAACCGGTGCTGCTTACTTGTTATGCAATGCTCACACAAAGTAAGTGATACCTTTGTTAAGCCTGGATGTAGCTTTTGCTCCACAAGGACTTTCATTCCTTGTTCTGACATGTGTCTAAGTTTCTGATGCCATAGCATTGTAGAATCTGAACTACATGAGGCAACAGAGGCTTCTGCTTCTAGCAAAGTCTCTCCCTTCAGCATGTACAAGTTTGCTGCTATCTTTTTGCCTTTCAGCACCACAAGCGCTCCACGGAACACCTTCATGATTCCTTTTCGTGTTTCAATCTTGCTTGCATTATTATCCAATAATCAGTAGGATAATAAATTTTTCTTCAAACCTTTCACGTGTCACACATCTCGAACAACTTTAATTGTTCCAACATACATCTTCAATTTGATGGTTCCCACGCCAATGATCTCTAAGGCATGATCATTGCAACTATACACAGATCCTCTTGAGACAGGTTCATAATGATGGAACCATTCTCTTCTTGAGGTCATGTGATATGTTGCTCCCGAATCAATGAGCCATATGTCTGCATATCTTTTTTTACCTTCCACGGTGGTTGACGCTTCACAGCATAGAGCATCTCCATCATCTGAAGTGTTTGCAGTTTTGCCTTGTGGATTGGAGTTTTTATTTAGACTCCAACAATCCTTCTTCAAGTGACCCTTTTTTCCACAATTGCAGCACTTTAAATTCTTCTTGCTTCTCGACTTCGATCTACCATGTTTGTGACTGCTGCTTTGGCCACAATCTGTTGATCTCCCTCTCATCGTTGTCAACGCTTCTTCTTGTTGCAGATTTACTTATCTGTATTCCTTGTTCTTGCGCCGATTTTCTTCTTGTAGAACAACAGCTGCAACGTCATCGAAGACTAGACTGGTGACATTACTGTTTGTCAAGTTGATGATGAGTTGATCATACGAATCTGGTAGACTTTGAAGTAGAAGTTCAGCACGTTCTTGTTCTCCTATTGTACATCTTAAAGATGTAAGCTGATAAAATAAAGTGTTCAGCGTGTTTAAGTGCTTCGTCACTGAAGTAGATTCCGGCATCCGGAGAGTGTACAATTTCCTCTTAAGGAAAATTTTATTGTGCAACGATGTGGCCTCATACAATTTGGTGAGATGATCTCATATCTCCTTAGCTGTCTTCTTCTCCTCGATGCTTGACAATACTTCATCTGCTAATGCTAGATGAAAGTTTGCCATAACATTCTCGTCCATTTCGATCCATTTGTTGTCATCTGTGAAATCTATCGGCCTTTCACTGATAGCTGCTAGATAACCGTCTTTCCTCGGGATGACCTTCATCTTCAATTTCCACAATGAGAAATTTCTACCATTGAATTTTTCAATATCAAATTTCGTTGCCATAACTTCTATTACGGATAGCTCCCACTATTTTACTATCGTGAATAGTTCTTTGGAACATTCAAAGAATGAGTAATACATTCTTACTTTCTTATGCTGGAGGATCCACCTTTTGGTGGCAACCACAAAGATAATAAGTAGATATTACACACTCTAACTTGGCTCTGATACCAATTGTTGCGGAAGACGACTATCGGATAGAGCAAAATCGCAACTGATAATTTGAGAAAATAAAAATGAAGATAAAGAAGACAAAATTTATATGGAAACCCCCTAAATAATATAGGGTAAAAAGCACGGGCAACGGTAGAAGAATTTCACTATGAGAAAATAGGAATTACAACCTCTCTCGATCTACCAAGGAGAAAACAATGATAATTCTCTCTTGATAAAAAAAAGGAGAAAACAACTCTCAAGAAACTCTCTAAATTCTCTCTAGTATTGGAAGAAAGCTAAAATGTTTTGGGATGATTTTGAAGCTAAATGAGCTAGGGTATTTATAGTTGAAACTTAAGGACTAATTTGTAAATACCCTAAATTACAATGACTAAAAATGATTTTATCATTTCCAAAAAAATTCAACAAATGCCATGTGCCATTAATTGTGCCCACTTTCGGTGCATTGTTTAATCCACCTTTCGGTGGATTTGTTTAGTTTTCAACACTGATAACATGTTGTTTTTCGCTTACGGGTTCTTGGAGATGAGGAAAAGAGAGCAAGGTATGACAGAGGAGAAGACATTGAAGATATGGGTATGGACGGTGGCGGTTTCAACCCATTTGGTGGCAACGGCGGCGGACAGCATTTCACATTTACATTTGGAGGAGGGGTTCCCGGTGGCGGCGGTTTCGTTTTCAACTTTTGATACCTTTGCTAAATGGTTATAATAGTGCATATTTTGTTTTCGAGCCCTAACACACATCTTTCAAGTAACTTATACCATTAAAATTGGTTTCTTAGATGAACAATTTATCATCCTCACAAAGTTTTCCTCCATTTTTTTTCATTTTAAAGCTTGTATAAGTTGATGATAAGGAATTGAGGAGCCTCCAGTTAGCTATATATGTTAAGCCTTTAAGGGTTCACTCCATAATCTCAGTATTTATGGTAATTGAATGATTATTGAAACATATTCCTGGAACTGAAAATAACAACAAAAAAGGGGGGGGGGGGGCTTTCTCCATTTAGTGTTAATAAAACCAACAATAGAGCAGCATCTGTATGAAATGAGGTGGTATATATACAGCAGAAAGTTATCATCTTATACCATTTTACACCTTAGATTTGTTAATTTAATTGGCATTCCCACTTTCTAAAGCTCTCATTTCAGTAGTGTGAATATCCGTTTGTGTTTGTTGCGGTGGCACTGTTTCTGGTGGTCGATCCGACCTCGGTGCTTCTTGAGAACTAAGTGGTTGACTTGATTCTGTACGCCGCGTTCTCCACACATTCGGAACTTCGTTAATAATAGAGGTTCCACACATTGTGCCACCAATCCCAACAAATGCAGAGAGAAGAACAGAGAGAACAGCCTGTATGTGGAGCTGTAGAAAAAACACAAAAAAAACAGGATGTATTTCGATTACACGGAAGGCTCTATATCCAACTAATGCAGGGTATAATCAAAGACTTCTAGATTCTAACTGTTCGAAAAGTTGCATTATCGAGAACGAGTATCTCTTACCAACGAGAAGAAAAGATGTGCTGATAGAACCACCAGTGCGTATTGAATCGTAGCATAAATCCAGACGTATTTTCTCCTTACTGAAAAGAGAAATGGGATCAGTAAGACGGATAATGTAATTCACAGGAACGAGACTGCCGAAAGAAAGTTACCCATTGTTGTGGATGTCATCGATGCAAGTAGACCCAATATACAGGAGAAAGGAAGAGAGATGGCAATTGCACCAGACTTCATTTTCGAAACCTGGGTACATAATGACTTTAGTAGGACAGGTAAAAGCTCGAAAGGACGCAAGCATTTCCGTATTAGCTAAACTTACCAGCAGCTGCTCAAGAAAACAAAAGTAAGCAAGCATGCTAACAATGACAAGAATGGGAACATCCTGCCAGAACCTGCGGAAAAAACCTTTACGTTACGAAATCATCGAAGATGAGTTATAAATGAAGGTAATACGTGTTACATTTATCGTTTGTAGCAAACCGCAGAGATGGACATCGTATACTTGCCTGTATCTAGGACCTTCAACCCCAGTTCCTCTCATGTTATGAGGTTGAACATTTTGAACTCGTAAAAGAGTAACAGGTAGGTTTTGGACATCTTGCTTGCACACGTCACAAGTTTTATTACCTTTGATGCTAAACCATTTTACAGCACATTCTTGGTGCGCAAGGGCAAGTTCTCCTTTGCAGCTACATTCCATCTTGAGGGTCTCGGCACCTTCTCCTAGCTCGGTCAAACAGATTCGACAAACAGCTTCTTCTTCGGGAATATCTTCACCGCCATCACTGTTTCCATCTGAACAATAAGACTAACATAAGACATAGGTCGGTTATCACAAGCATAAAAGGGAAATCAGAAGCTAAAAAACCATCTTAGCATTCAAAGTTCATCCCAACTGCAACCCAAACCTAACAAATATTGAAATCAGAAGCTAAAAAACCATCTTAGCATTCATAGTTCATCCCAACTGCAATCCAAACCTAACATATAAATATAAACAATCAATTCGAATTTGCCAGCAGAATAAAATTACCAGTATCACTTTTGGTAATTATGTTCGATGTTACAACAGTTCCCTTGACTGCTTGTGGAGTTGTAGGAATCACACGAAATACACCGCCTAAAGAATCCAACTGTGTTATGCTTCCATCTTCGTTGAGCACAGGCACTGAACGTGAACGATGGATGGGTGGTCCAGAAGCTCCTCCTTTCTGTAAAGTGAGCAATTCTGTAAGAACCAAGTAGAAAATAGTATGACTCACTGCAGGGGTAAAGGTCGAAATGCAAATTCATGTGACAATAAATTATTGAGGCAATAAGCATAAAATTTAACTGCAATCCTTAGAAGAGATACATACACAAAAAGTTCTCAAATTAATGTGCATAAGTCATGAAAGGACATTCTAAGTTCCCTGGATTATGTTCTGTATGCGGAGTCAAGGAACACTTCAAACTGTAGGTGCAGCGAACATTTACATGCGCAGTTGTCGGTAATGCATCGATAATACGATATAAGTGCACCAGTTATAAATGCCAATGGATATAACGAGCATGATGAATTGATGGCTTTGTAAAAGTACAACAATATAAATAGTTGTTAAGGATCTTCAGTGACACAGAGGTAGTAGCTAATGCATCGATACTAATGTGTTCAACACTTGCTGCAGAATTTAGTAGGCTAATCACCTGCCCACCATGCATGGACTCCAGGTTTGAATGTGCAGTTGGAGTACTGGGTAACGACGATGTATTTTTAGCCCTCGGTGTGAAAAGCTTTGAGAGGGAAAACGTCCTTGGGATGTGAGGCTTTTCTTGTATATCTGCTGATGAGCCACCCAATGATAAGATAGCAGCCTTCTCATTTTCCAAATTAGTGTTGCGGTATTTGAAACTCAACTTCGGAAGTAAGCTTTTTAAGGATGGTTTACTTTTCGGTGACAAATGCACTGGAGAATCATCGAATCTGGAAAAGATAGGACTAGACATGGGTGAAAAGTTGACTCTTCTAGGAGTGGCTGTTGGTGTTAAGGCCATGTCTATTCTCACGAATTCCTCCCTTGCATACTCGGGACTTCTCGATGGTATCGCTAAGACAAGGTCGTCACAACATCGGTGCTGACCAACAGGTGTCTCTTCGGTTATCTCGGTTGAATCCCCAAACTGAAAAAAGGATCAAACCATTAAGTGTAAAACAAAAGCTGAACTATCTAATCGATCTTCAAATGGCAGATATATTCTTAGGCTCCTTAGCTTCTATACCGCAACAGCTAACAAAACATTACCAACTTTAATCAACATACGATCTCAAATGAAAACAAAGAGTAAACATCGATGAATAGATTTTCATTTTTTAATGACAAAATGATTGTGAATTGCAAGTTCTAATCTTTATGATTGCTCAGTGTTTGATAAAATTTCAGATAAAGCACTGTGTATGCCTTGCAAAAAGGCCAAGCCAAGCCTCATAAAGAAACCTTTTTATGCGCCTGAAATAAAGGGGGAAAGGGTTCCATAAAGTTCGTACAAGTGATCTTTACAGAGCTCAAGGTTGAAGTTGAAGCTCAAGGCCTTAAAAAGTAGCTTTTTTCCCTTTTTAAAATCACAGTAATCAATACTAAAAAAATAAGAAAGGAAAAGCAGGAGAAGAAACTCATGATCTTTTAAGCAATAAAGAATTTCCCATCAAACCATTTGGAGCAATAAACAGCTAAAGTTCCAAAATTGACCCAAAAAAAGCTATGATTTTTAACAAACCACAAAAGGAGAAACTAAAAAAAGAAAAAAGAGTACCCTTTGAAGTGGAGGACCAACAGTGTTGCTGCTGCTGCTTGTTCCTTCACCATTCTTGAATACATGCTCACCTTCATTTTCCATGTTTCAGATTCAAACTCTTTTTGCAGATGATGGGCGTTTATAGTTAACTTCAATTATGGGTTTCTGACACAAAAAGAAACTGATTTTTGTAGTCATGTCCGAAGAACAAGTTGATACAAAACAGGGCAGGCAAACTGACAGAGATTATATTATATGAGCAACTGAGGTGGCCATCCAAGGCCAAAGAGAGACGAGGGTTTGGTATTATTTTTCAAAGTATAATATATTTTAATTTAAAATAGATAATAAAAAAAATTGATAATGTTATTCATTAAAAAAAATCTTTTTTGAAGGGTGATGTTATTCATTGTTGATGATGACAGGGAAGCCAAGTACCAAATTTGTATACAACGTTTTGGTAAGGTGGCTTTGTCACAGGATTTTGGTCCGACATGCTAAATAATCACCTAATACATCAATATTCATATATTTAATATTGTTCTTTAATATATTATTTGTGTTAAATTTATTTTATATAATATGAATCCTAAACTTTAAACTAATAATTTAATTTCTAACTTCTAAATTCTAATTTTAGATTATTTACGAGCGATAGTATCTATTTTAAATACTTTCGATTATTTAATAACGAACGTTCAAATAAATAAATTCATGTAAATTAAAGTTACATCATCTATGTATTAAAATTTCTGACGTATTTATTTTATTGTCTTAAAATTTGATTAATTATTTATCATATAAATTCTCGAATATTTAGTCGACTTTCAATTTTTGAGTTTTTAAAAGAGAATATGTTTTGTTTTCCATTATAATTTTCGTAAGTCGACTTTTGAAGCTTGCACTTGCAATCAAAGAATCAATCTTAATGTGGTTAGCATAATATAATTTCTTTAAAAGGTATCATCTTGAATTGCAACATTATCCTAAAGAAAATATATATTCTGTAATCCTTTGAATCACTATTTATAACAATTGACATTGATAATTAAAACGTTTTCCAAGGTTGAATTTGCCTTCAAAATTTTCACTCACAGAGTAATAGTAAAAGGCTAGAAAAGAGGAATTGATTAGACTTTAGTAGTAGAAGAGTATTGTCTTATAAAAGTACATGTTAAATGAAATTCTTGGGATTGAAGCAACGTTGGGTGCAGAGAAAATATATTGTGATTTTGACTGTTTAAATTTAGTCTCCGCTGAGAAAGAGTGAACAGAATCTAATCGGGGAAAGAAAATTCTACAATACGTCACTTTTAATATATAATTAAAAAAATATTATTAGTTTTATTATTATTTAAATAATAAAATCGATAAAAAATTATCTAAATTATTATTATTTTTATCTAAAATATCAATATTTTTTAACATTTCGGGTAAAGTATCCAACAATAACAAAATAGGTAATACTTTATCGATTTTGTTAACAAAACTGGTAACACGCCCAATAATAACAAAACCAGTAAAAATAATAATATTTTCGATAATTTTTTACCAATTTTATTATTTAAATAATAATAAAACCGATAACAACTTGTTTAACTGTATATTCAAGATTTCTTTTGGCCACCAAACTTTTTTAAAGTTTTCATTTAGGTACCCCCAACATTTAGTCTATTTGTAATATAGTCCCCGACGTTACACTGTCGTTAGTACGTTTGTAATATGGTCACTGAACTTTTCAAGCGCTTGCATTTAGGTCCCCCAACTTTTAAAACTTGCAACACAACCATCAATTTCATTCTAAACCCCAAATTCATTTTCGATCTCAAATTTCCTTTTTTGCTTCTCTCTTCTCATTTCCAGCGTAACTTTTCATTCGGGGATGCATGGGAAATTCTAATCTAAATTTGAATTATGTGGAGGTGTTAACTTGAATAAGGGTTCATTGAGAAAAGACCTGACCAAGGGACTATCGAGACCATCAATGATTCAAGGTGTAATGTTAGATACATGTCATCTCAGGTGAAGCATATATGTTCGATGAAATGATTGTGAGAAAAAATGGGGTTAGAAATGCATAGTTGACAAATATTGCTAAGATGAACTAAGTATCATTGTTGAAATTCACTAACAAAGCTGAAATTATTTTGTATAAATGACATAATAATTTCTTCGTTTAATCCTTGTGGTTAAAGATTTTCTAAAAATATAATGAAATCTCAAACAACTCATTCACCTCTCAGTCACTTTCGCTCACATGCACTCTTGTTTGATTTTTGTTCTTCAATTTTCCACTATGTAAATTGTAAACCCAACCAGTGCTCTGTCTTTTAGCTTTTTATTTACAAAGAAAAAATGGAGGAAGAATTGTTGGAACGCAACACTGATTGCGTTTATTTCTTAGCCTCTCCCCTCACTTGCAAGATGGTATTTATTTTCTCTTTTGGGCTATCCGAAAGTAAGCTTTTTCCTCTTTCGCACTTTTCCATTTTTAGCTCGCATTGTGTGTTTTTGAAATTTTTATGTTTCTGGAACTGCATGTCAATGATCTGGATATTCAGTGTTAGTTTGGAACCAAAACTATCTAATTTTCTTTCTTTATTCTTAATCAAAACTTTTAGTTCTGCTTATGGAAGATATTTAGTCCATCTGAATAGAAGTGAAATAGGGTCCCATACTAAATTGTTTTTGATCTTCTTGTTTGGTTTTTCTTTAAATCAGGGAATTGGTTGTGAGTATCGACATAGTGAAACTGCCAAACTCAATTTGAGATACTGCTGTACTAGTTTACTGAGAATTGTATTGATCCGACCTGTGGTTTTCGGCATCTTGTGAGTTCTTATCCTTTTTAATAAGTTCATGTTGATTATGGGACTGATATATCATGAACGAATTGGATTTTTTACATGTTTTGGAAATTTTACAGTTAAATTGTATTGAATTATAGCTTTAGAAGACAATTATGCATGCACACAACTTGAAAGACATCATGACAGGGTAGTATATTTGGAGCAGCTACTTGACCATGTCATAATGTCTTTCGAGTTCCGAAAGTGACTGAAAGGTGAATCTGTTGTTTGAGATTTCATTATATTTGATCATCAGTTGGAAAATATTTAACCATAAGGATTAAACGAAAAAAATATTATATGACATTTATACAAAATAATTTCAGCTTTGTTGGTGACTTTCAACAATGATACTTAGTTCATCATAGTAGTATTTGTCAACTCTGCATTTCTAACAAAACTTAGTTACGCGGGAAATTAGAAGAGAGAAACGAAAAAGGAAATTTGAGATCGAAAAGGAATTTGGGGTTTAGAATGAAATTGAGGATTGTGTTGTAAGTTTTAAAAGTTGGGGGACCTAAATGCAAGCATCTGAAAAGTTCAGTGACCATATTACAAACATACTAACGGTAGTGTAATGTCAGTGACCATAATGCAAACGGGCTAAATGTTAGGGGACTGTATTGTAAGTTTTAAAAGTTGGGGGACCTAAATGAAAAGTTTAGTGAGCGTTACTATACTTTACCCTTTATATATTACAACACCCCATTTCTAAAAAAAAATCTACATTTTAGTTTGAGTAACGGCAGTACAGATTGTGATGTATATAACTCATTTTCTGATTTTTTTTAGAAATTCGATAGTTTTATTAAAAATAAAAAATATTTAAAATTAAAATGAAGACTTAAGAGAATAATCGTAAATTTAAAATATAAGTATGATATTTTCAAAAAATGAAATTTTTGAAAAGTAAGAAAGCGATTTCCAAAGTTTCTTACCCAATAAACTATTTCCAAAATTGGTAAGTCCTTCGAACCATCAGAAAGTCTTTCGAGCATGATGATTAAATCCTTCAGGTCATCTGTAAGTCTTTCGAGCAAGATGATAAGTATTTCGGACCATCCGTAAGACCTTCAGGTAGGATGTTTTCATATGAATTTGAAAAATAAGAAGCGAATTCCAAAGTTTCTCATTTAGTATTTTCAGAAAATGAAATTTTTGAAAAATAAGTAAGTGATTTCCAAAGTTTCTTACCCAGTAAACTATTTCCAAAATTGGTAAGTCATTTGGGCATCAGTAAGTCTTTCGAGCATGATGATTAAATCCTTCGGGTTATCTGTAAGTCTTTCAAGCGAGATGATAAGTCTTTTGGGCCATCCGTAAGACCTTCGGGTAGGATGTTTTCATATGAATTTGAAAAAATGAGAAAGCTATTTCCAAAGTTTCTCATTTAGTATTTTTAGAAAATTGAATTTTTGAAAAGTAAGAAAGCGATTTCCAAAGTTTCTTACCCAGTAATCTATTTCCAAAATTGGTAAGTCCTTCGGACCATCAGTAAGTCTTTCGAGCATGATGATTAAATCCTTCAGGTCATCTGTAACTCTTTCGAGCGAGATGATAAGTCTTTCGGGCTATCCGTAAGACCTTCGGGTAGGATGTTTTCATATGAATTTGAAAAATGAGAAATGATTTCCAAAGTTTCTCATTTAGTATTTTCATGAAATGAATTTTTGAAAAGTAAGAAAGCGATTTCCAAAGTTTCTTACCCAGTAAACTATTTCCAAAATTGGTAAGTCGTACGGGCCATCTGTAAGTCTTTTGAGCATGATGATTAAATCCTTCGGGTTATCTGTAAGTCTTTCGAGTGAGATGATAAGTCCTTCAAGCCATCCGTAAGACTTTCTGTTAGGATGTTTTTAGGCATAATGCAACAAAATGACCCTAACGTTTGACAGTAATGTCAACTTTACCTGTATTGTTATTTTTGGAACATTTGGGTACCGAACGTTTATTTTTTGGTCAAAAATAACCCACGCTGGATAGAAACCTTCAGTTAACTGACGGTCAACGCCGGATACTGACGTAGCGCACACGCGTGAAGGAAAAAGGTGATGTGGACATTCATTCTTTCGTCCGAATTTCATTTAAAAAAACAAAACATGTTTTGCTATTCACAAACCAGTTTTTTCCTCAACTCTTTTACCCTGATTTTTTCCTCAGCCTTACTCTCCCTTTTATCCTGATTATTCGCTAAATTTTAGGGTTTAAATCCCTAATTTAACGAATCATTTCTCATTTGATTCTATCTCCATAAAAAGCACACGAAGCATTTCAAACATCTTGGAGTATATGGAAGGTGGATCCCTTGTAGACTTTTTAAAAAAGATTAAATCAATTCTCGAACCCTATCTTACCGTATTTTGTAAATAGGTCGGTACATTTACTTTGTTTTGATTATAGGTTGTTCTTAGATGTGTTCTGATTGGCAACTTGAAATTCTACTCTTTAATGCAGGCATT